GCGCCCCGCAGAGGCGCGCGTAGTGGAAAGTGAGGAACTCCGCCAGCTCCTTGTACCGCTCGGACGGCAGCACGCGCAAGCGCCGCGCCCGGATCCGCGCCCGCAGCGCGGCGCCTAGTGGCGCCCCGAGCAGCGGGAACCAGCGCTCCAGACCCGCGGCGGGCGCGCGGGGGACTCCCAGCTCTTCCAGTGCCAGTGCCACGCGGCCCAGCGCCGCTCCCCCCGGGCCAGCTCCGCGCAGCCGCAACGACAGGCGACGCGCCGGCGGCAGCGCTTCGAAGTGGAAGCGCTCGGCCCAGAAGAGCTGGCCCGGGCCAGCCCGCGGCGCTGTGCGCGCTAATAGAGCGCCGTCCAGCCATAGCTCGGCGCGCACGCCTGCTGTCCCCGCCGCCGCTCGGGGCAGTCCCTTTGCCTCGTGCACCCACACGCTCAACCACGTCTCTTCCCGTTCCAAGTTGTCCTGCGGACCAGAGTGGGTTGGGGGAGGCGTCGGTGCTCCACGTGGGGCACCGTGCCCCCAGGGAGATCGCTGGGCCCTTGGGGAAAGACAGGGGCCACGGCGGTCTTAAGGCTGTTTGGCGAAAGCCCTCTAGCTTTTCTGTGCTCTCGAGGAGAGATCCGGGCTCCAGGGTAGCAGGAGCAGCCGCGGGGTGGGAACTTGCTGTTTGCCTGGTAGGCGGGGTTTTGGGTGCAACTAGGTCCCGGATTGAATAGAAGGGACCGGAGTGTTTTACCAGGAGCTGGTAACAGACGGAAACTGAGGAGGGTCTCGGAGTGGTTGTGAAGGTGTTAGCCGGCAGGTGTGTCAAAGAGGCAGGGTTAGGGCGCGGGCGGGGGTTTGGTTTGGGGGAAGGAGGGGAGCGGGCTGTGAGCGGGGCCTCCATGTCCAACTTATCTGCTGTACTGACCTGGCTGGGCTGGAAGTGGCGGCGAAGGTCCTCGACCCAGCGGTCTCTCTCAGCCGCGGAGCGGCAAGAGAAGCAGCGGCTCCCGCCGGTCCACGTTACCTGTTGGAGACGGGTTCAAGGGTGCGGTTGAGGCCGAGCGTAGAACCAAAGGGTCGGGGTGAGGTGGAGAGTTGTCTGCATTTACCTGGAAGCAGTGGGGCTCCTCCAGGAGGCTGGGGTGCAGTGGCCAGACCCTCACATCCCGCTCAGCACCCAGGTCCAGCTCGGAGAGTGTGGCCAGCGACTCCCGAGATCCCAGAGCACTGGGGGGTCTGGGGAGGGGACTTTTGTTTTTGTTTTCATTTTTGAAGATTTTATTTATTTATTTGACAGAGCTCACAAGCAGGCAGAGAGGCAGGCAGAGAGAGAGAGAGAGAGGGAGAAGCAGGCTCCCCGCCAAGCAGAGAGCCGGATGCGGGGCTCGATTCCTGGACCCTGGGATCATGACCTGAGCTGAAGGCAGAGGCTTTAACCCACTGAGCCACCCAGGCGCCCCTGGGACATTTAAACAAGTGGTCATTCTTCCCTCCTTGCCACTGACCCATCCCCTATAGCCTGAAGGGTGGAGGGAGACCAGGATGAACCTGAACCTAAATTGGGCTTGAACCCATCGCTTTTAGGATAAAAATTCAACTCCTCATGGTGGCGGGTGTTACCTTGTATAGTACAGTCCTTGCCACCTTTTCACCACATTTCCCTGCACTTAATCCCTTTTTCTGAGCTCCAGTCATCCTGGCCTTCTTTTTGTCACTTTGTCTGGCCTCTTGGCCTTTGTACTCGCTGTTTCCTAGCCTGGAATGCTTTTCTGTCCATCTTGGCCAGGGGAACTTCCATCCATCCTTCAGATCTCAGCTCAGGGGTCCCTTTCTTGACACTCCTAGATCAGGGTGTGACTTAGTTCCTGATTTAGAATCAGCGTGTAGACCCTACCCCTACCTTTCAGTCGAATGGTGGCTTCGGCATTGCTCAACATGGGGCAGGACACTGAGAGGGCTGTTGGAGGCATTTGGTGAAGGTGGGAAGGATAGGCAGGTGAGGGGGCAATGCTGAATCCCAGAAGAGCCCCTCTGCCTCTCAGAGACTCTTACCCATCCCGGGAGGCACTGGCTCCGAGCTCTGACCTGGCCTTTTTCTTCTCTTTCAGCCGCTTGAGCAATCCCTGTGGGAAGGGGGTATCAGCTGGACAGAACCCTGTTCTCCGTCCTCAACTTCTCTCCCCCCACATGTCCTGGATGGTCTGCTGGTTTGGGGGGGACCACAAGCTCAGGCTGTGTTAGCAGTAATAATAAAGGTAACCAACAGCTCCTTTTTCTAAAGCGCCAATCCTGTGCTTTTCTGCATTCTCTGTTGACTTCTAATAAACAGCCCTGGGACCGGGTGGGGGGTGGGATTCTCATTAGTTCCATTTGACCGATAGGGATACTGAAGCCAAAAAATGGCCTGCTCAAGATCATTCAGTAAGAGTCCCCTTTCATCTCTGAGGGTCTGGGTGTCTTTGCTCTCCCCTCCACCTCCCACTGGATGCCTTACCCGAACGTTGTGGACCTGGTTGGGGCCAGCAGCGTCTGGCTCAGTCTTTCCAGTGGTCCGATCTGTAGGTGGTCAGGGGTGGAAGGTTGGGGGATGGGATCATCTTGAATTCTGCCCCACTTTGACATGCTCCCAAATGCCCTTGCCGTCCACATCTCTGAAACTTACCTGGATCCCTGAGGTTTCCCATGGCTACCCTGATGCTGCCTTCAGAGCTAGCACTCCCTGCCCGGGGCCGGCGTGGACCCTGTTGTTCATAAGAGTGGGTAGTCATACAGGGGAGGCAGACAGGCAGACAGAAGGAGAGGCAGCCACTTTCCATTATCCTCCCCACCCACTCTTCTGTCTCCTTCCCACCCTCTTCTCCCCTCCTCTCATCCCTGTGCCCCTTCTCACCTCCTCCTCACCCCCAAGCAGCACCAGCTTCCCATCGAGCAGGGTGAAGGCCCCAATGTTCCAGATGGGTACATCAGGTGTGGGGGCCTCAGGGATCTGTGGGGCAGGGGTCTCTGGCTCTGGCTCAGGCTCTGGGGAGAGGAGTAGGTGCTGGGAACCTGGGAGTCCTTTCTTTTCCCTCAGAGGACCCTCTCCATTCACAGAGGCTCATCGGGTTTCCCTCCCAGGTGTCTCCTCTCCCCCCACCCCCGCACCCCAGTCCACTGGCAGCCATGTCAGGTTGCTGTTGGACAAGTTTCCACCCCTCTTTTGTCCTTGTTCCCACAGGCCATTGGTAGTGGACACATGGGCCATGTACTGTGTTTACTGCTCCACATGCATTCTCTCATTTAATCCTCCCAAAGCCACTCAATGGCTACCACCCCCATTTTGCCAAGGAGAAAACTGAAAAACAGAGAGGTTGAGTGACTTGCCCAGGGTCATACAGTTTGTGAGTGGCTGAGCTGGGCTTCAGACATAAGCATTCTTCTCTTAACCAAGACAGTAGGTAGATAGGTCCAAGAGGTTAAACAAGACAGCATCCTTGGTTCCTTACACAAAGAACTAATCTAAGGTAGAAAGCATTCCAAGTTTGAGAAAGGAATAGAAAAAAGATCCGGGTAGGGAGAAGTGGTGGTGCAATGGGACAAGGAAAGCCTCCAGAGATGGTAGGTTTGTGCTGGGTCATGACCAGCAGGTTGGATTTTGACAGAGATGGAGGGGACTAGGGCAGGAACAGCTTGGGCAAAGGCTTGGAGATGGCAAGGCCCAGAAAAAGCAAGAAGGGCCCATAGGGCTCAGAGGCTAGAGGGGAAGATCCAGGATGAGACTGGTACAGAACCTTGGGTGCCAGTTAGAGAACTGGAGGAAATGAGGAACCACAGGAGGTGTTTGAGCAGGGGAGGAGCAGTCCTGCTTTTTGGAGAACTCTCTGGATCCTATGGAGTGGGCAATACTGGATACCCTGAAGGGGGCTGAAGGGATGCCTCTGCAGAATGGGAATACGAACAGTGAGAAATGAGCTTTTGGAATAGATGAGCTGAATCAATCCTCCCAGATCACCTGTCTGTCCTACTGTTTTCCCATCAGGGGAATAAATACTCCACTTGTCAATAGGTCACTTAAAACTTGCTGGGCCCTGGGCTAGTGCTGCATTCCTGAACTCCAGTCTTCAAGGCATCCCTTTCTCTTTTAGATCCCTTGTGGAACAGCCCTATCTGTCATTTCTGGTTTAGTTGTTTACTGTCTGTTATACCCACTACACCGTGAGCTACATGGGGCAGGAAGTTTCATCTGTTTTGTTTGCTGCTGTGTCCTTAGTGACTAAATTAAGGCCTGGCATGTTGTAAATGCTCAACAGACCTCTATTTGAATGAATGAATGAATGAATGAATGAATGAATGAATAAATGAATGAATATGAGCAAATGAAATAATATATGCTTTAAGGTAGGGATTATGACCCCCACTTAACTGATGGAGAAGCTGAGGTTCAAAGAAGTGAAGAAACTGAAGATATGGAGGCCAGAGAGCAGAGGTGGATATCCAGGCAGGAGAGAATGAGCCTGGGCTCATTCTCATATGAACAGAGACCCATTGAGGAGAGACCCACTGGGGCCAAGAGCCATTTGGCATCTGGATGGTACCTTCCATCCCTTCCCTCTCCCTTCCCCAAGATGGACCCCCAGCCCACAGGTCCCTGGCCACTCCCCTCACCCCCCAGTCCCTGTGTGAGGGGGAAGAGGGAAGAGGGCAGCTGGGCCCCAGCCACTTCCTGTTGGGCTTTTGCACTCCCCACAACTTCCTGTGTCTGTAGGGCTGATGCTCAGGAGGCAGACAAAACCTAAGCATCCGGCCTCCCAGCCCGGGGAAGGGGGAACCATGTACCTTGGGCCTCTGGCTCTGGTCCTGGCTCCAGCGGCGGGCTTTTATGCCTTCCCCAGAGGGTCTTGGATAGCCTCAGGCGGCTTGTGCGTGACTCCTTGGGGGGCGCAGAGAGGACACGACGGAAGAGCGAACGAGAGGCAGGCTGGCTGCTGACTCCGGGCTCCTGGTGGCTTAATGCCCGGCCCCAGCCTGCAAGTCGGCCCCAGCGGGAGCCTCCGGCTACTTTCTCCCCATCGCCCCCTGTGTGCCAGCGGTAGGAGGTTAGCGGGGAGGAAGCTGCTGCCGGCTGGGTTTGGGAGGTCTTGCACGGTGATGGTGGGTCCATGGCGGGGGTTCTCCTGGAGGACAAGGGGGTGACAGTTCTGCCCAGTGTGTTCCCACATGCTGTCTTCATCTTGGCCCCCTCCCCACTCTCAGCTCCACCCCCAGGGAACCCCTTCAGTGGCCACACGCCCTCTCTCCCTTACCTTGATTTTCTGGCCAGCCTCAAAATCAGCAGCCGTCTGCGCCCTGCCTGGCTTCCTCCCGCTGAACGCAACTCCACGTGACCCTGTCTGTCCCACCCCACCCCACAGCCAGGCTGGGAGGGCAGAGTGGGGGCAGGATGCGGGAGGCAGAGGAGGTGACAGAGCAGGACCCAGAATCTCTCATTGATCCGGAGGCAGCAATGCCGCTCTCTGAGCCTCAGATACCTTCTCTGCAGAATGGGTACAGACTGACCAGGTGCTGGTGAGAATACAGGGTACCTGGAGCGCTCCTCTGCTGCTGGTCAGAGTGTAGATCAATTTACCTAAGTTGGAAAACTGGCATGATCTCCTAACAGTGACCATACACCCTTCCTCTGGTCCAGCGGTTACAGTGCTAGGTATACACCCAACAGACAAGCCCACTAGCACTCTTTGTGATAGTCCCAAACTGGAGGCCACCCGAGTGTCCGTCTACTGTGGAATGGATCAGTTGTGATCCCATCTGCAGTGGGATACCATGCAGCAAGGAAAGGAGCAAACTGCTGGATGACTTATTAAACCCGGATGAATCACAAACAGTGCACAGTAAATACCTTGTGGTCCCTTTTATATAGTCGCAAAGGAGGCAAAACTGTGGAACAAGTCAGGATGTTAGCTTCCTTTGGAGGAGGGTAGGGGAGCATGAGAGAAGGTTCTCAGCACATATATATTTGTTTGTTTTGTTTTGTTTTTCCTAATGGTGGTGAAAGTCACATAACAAATTTAACATGTCCTCTTTCTTGAACTGGGTGAGTGCTTGTTACAAGGGTGTGTTCTGTTGTGAAAATTTATTGAGCTGTACAGTCCAGTGCACTTTATCCGTATCTTCCTGTATCTCTGTTGTACCTCAGTAAGTGTTTACTTGTAAAAAGAGGTGGGCAAATGCTGTTCTAAGAAATGAATGAGTCAGCATGAGATTCAGCCGAATCCTGGCCCAGGAGTGGGTTCCAGTGCCAGCTGGTCCTTCGCTCGCTGTGTGACCTCAGGCGAGTCACTTCCTCTCTCTGAGACTCGGTTTCCTTATTTGTACAACAAGATGAAAATATTAGGGGTGCCTGGGTGGCTCAGTGGGTTAAGCCGCTGCCTTCGGCTCAGGTCATGATCTCAGGGTCCTGGGATCGAGTCCCGCATCGGGCTCTCTGCTCAGCAAGGAGCCTGCTTCTCTCTCTCTCTCTCTCTCTCTGCCTGCCTCTCTGTCTACTTGTGATCTCTCTCTGTCAAATAAATAAATAAAAATCTTAAAAAAAAAAAAAGATGAAAATATTAGCTCCAGAAGGTTCATAATGGGAGTCTTTGTTTACTCAATAAATGTTTCCTGAGTGCCCACTATATACTAGGTGTCGGAGAAGCCACAGGGAACTGAACAAACTTGGTTCTTGCCCTCCTGGAGCACACAGTCCAGTGGGGGAGAGAGATCCTGAACATCAATGTAGGACATTCCTAGCTGGTGAGGAGGACTTGGGGGAAAATAGACTGGAGCAGAGACTGAGGCTAAGTGGAAAAATCCAGGAGGACCTCCCTGAAGAGGTGACACTTGTGGCACAAATCATAAGGAGTTGACCATGGGATGAGCATACAAGATAGAAGGAACAATTTGTGCAAAGGCAAGGGTGACCAGAATTCACAGGACAGGGTGGGTAGGACCACTTTCATAGGCATGTGGTCTGGGCAGTCATCGAGGACCCACATGCTTAGACAGGTACCACACTGCGTTTGATTTCATGCTTTGCTGTTGTTGTCTTGAAGTTCCTGCTTTTTGAACAAGGGACCCTGCATTTTCATTTTGCCCCATGCCTTACAAATTCTATAAACTGTCCCAAGGAGTAGGGCCTTCCATGAGGGCCAAAGACCTTTTTTCTTGGAGCTGGACATGTTCACATAGATGCACACACCTTAGATATGCCCACCTCCTTCATGCTGTTCTCAATCCATTCACTGCCCACAAGTAGAGTTTCCCCATGTTCCGATGTATCCCTGAGTCTTTCTCACTTCACTGAATACTGATCCACTCCCACCTCCCTGCATTTTTGCTGGAGGTCTTTCTCTGATGAGGGAGTCTACTCTACCCATACAATCCGCAGCCCCAAAGTGCTGGAGAATTAATACCTCCTGGAGATCAGCCCTTAACCAAATGATGACGAGGGTTGGGGGATCAATACTCCAGCTCCCTTGGATCAGTATGACTCTGAGGTGTGTGTCTTATTGTCCCCCAGAGGTCCCCAGAGGGATTGAGCTCCATGTCCCCTCAGTGCCAACTTACTTGATAAAGTACCCTTTCCCAGCTGCCTTCCCTTCCCTACCTCCTCCTCATTCCCCAACTGATACATCCTGGGATCACCCTCATCCCCCAAACAAACTACTTGCACTGAAATTCTTGTCTCTGGTCTGCTTCTAGGCAAATACAAGTTAAGACAATGTGTGCAGGGCACCTGGGTGGCTCAGTCGGTTAAGTGTCTGCTTCAGCTCAGGTCATCATCTCAGGGTCCTGGGACTGAGTCGCACATCGGGCTTCCTGCTCAGACGGGAGTCTGCTTCTTCCTCTCCCTCTGCCCCTCCCTGCCACTCATTCTCTCTCTCAAATTAACAAATAAAATCTTAAAAAAAAAAAAAAAGACAACATGTGCAAACACAGATGATGCATAGATACAGACTTTCTTTCCACTGTCTCTTTATTGGAGGCCTGTGGCTGGCATGTTTGTTGGAGGTGGCTCCTTTCTGGATCTCCTGGAGGCCCTCCTGGCCATTCTTGATTTCACATTCTAGAAAAGACAGGGGAGGGGAGCATGGGTGGCTCAGATGGTTAGGTGTCTCCCTTCAGCTCAGGTCATGATCCCAGGGTCCTGGGATGGAGCCCTGCATTGGGCTCCCTGCTCAGTGGGGAGCCTGCTTCTCCTTCTCCCTCTATTCCTCCCCCTGCTTATGCTCTCTCACTCTTCCTGTCAAATAAATCAATAAAATCTTAAAAAAAAATAAAGAAGAAAGGACAGGGGAGTGTGAGGCTTGGGGAGTGGGGGCCTGCCCATGTCACCATGGGACAATGGATAGGGAAGAGGACAGGGAACCCAACGTGAGGGGGTGGGTACGTTGCTGATTGCTGGCCAGTATACAGGTGAGACAGGGAGTGGGCAGGTAACATGAGATTGTACAGGTGGGAATATAGCGATGTTTTGGTGATCGGGGTCAGGGGCTGGGTGGGATCATGAGGCCAAGGTTATGCTGACTGGACATAGATTGCTCTGTCATAAGAGCTGTCATTGGGGTTCAGGGAGGCTGGGGCTGAGTAAGCATCCTCAGGCTGAGATGGGGCAGAGGACTGTAGCAAAGGGTTAGGGACTGGACAAAGGTTGCACAGGCAAAGGGGTTTTCCATAGAGGGTTACAGTCTAAGTGTTGTGTGGATAGAGGGCCCTTTGGCTAGGGGAAAAGAGTGAGGCCAAGGTTGGTTAGGCTGGGTGAGGCTGTGTAGGCAGAAGGGGTGCTGTAGGGTCAGGGTCCATGCTTTGGTTGGGAGGGCAGAGGTGTTGGGGCTAGGTAAATGACAAGCTGGCTGGGTCAGGGCTGAGCCGAAGCTGTACAGGCGGAGGACGGTGGGTAGGGGCTGTTGCAAATAGAACGACTGAAGTCTGGGTCTAGGTTGCCTGAATAGAGGGACTGCAAGGGGGGCCAGGAACCTGGTTGAGGCTGTGTGGGCCTGGGGGGTCACAGTAAGGAGTCAGGGGTCTGTCGAGGTTGGGCAGGCAGACAGGGGTCAGGGCTGAATTCTGAACTTGCGCGGCAAGATGGGCCACAGGCGGGGTCCCTTACTCACCGCCGCGAAGCGCGGCCAGGTGCGCAGCAGGCTGAAGAGCGCGTCCCCAGGGCAGTCAGTGCGCACCAGCTGGCGGTGGCCCAGCAGCGCGTAGTCGGGCCGCAGGAGGCCAGCGCGCACTGCGCAGCCAGGGAGCAGGTCCTGCACGGTGTGAAGCGCAGCCTTCGCAGGCAGCTCAGCTGTGTAGTTGCCCACAAAGGCCACGCCGAAGCCGCGAGTGTTGTGGCCCAACGTGTGCGCGCCCACCCAGTGCCAGCCGCGGCCCTCGTACACGTAGCCGTCTGAGCCGATCACGAAACTGTAGACGGGAGTGGAAAGCAGGCACCGTGCCGCGTGAGCGAGGCCCCGCCTTTCATCTGGGCCCCTACCCCAGTTCTGCCCCTGAGCCAAGGGCCACTTCCGACCCAAGTCCCGCCTGGTCGCTCTGGCTCTGCCCCGTCCATCCTCTTCCCACTCCCACAGTGCCACTGCAGAAGCTATCCCGTTTTTCTGGATCCGACCGTCAGCATTGGCCACTCCCCTTTCTACCCAGCCCCCTCCACACAGTCTCAAGTACAGCTCCTGCCCAATTCAGAGACCTTTTCTGTCTTAGGTCATATTCCATCGATGCTCCGTCCCAGACCCGGCTCTTAACACAAGTCTTGCTCCTTCCTCAGGTCCTGCCTCCTTTCCTAGTTGCTATCCCAGACCCAAGAATCCCAGGGCTAAAGCCGGGACTAGAGAGTCAAGGCCACGCCGCCTCCATTTGGCCACACCCACCGCCAAGGCTCCTCCTCCGTCTCGCCCCGTTGGCTCCGGTCCAAGCCCCGCCCCCCGACCAGGCTCCGCCCACCCAGGCTCCACCCTAAAAGGATATCGAGCCCGGGGCCTCACTTTACCTGTAGCCGATGTCGTCCCAACCCCGAGTATCTTGGTGGAAGCGCTGCATAGAGCGCATGTCGGCGGCG